TTACCTTCCAACAAGACAATGACCCTAAGCACACAGCTAAAATAACGAAGGAGTGGCTTCACAACAACTCTGTGACTGTTCTTGAATGGCCCAGCCAGAGCCCTGACTTAAACCCAATTGAGCATCTCTGGAGAGACCTAAAAATGGCTGTCCACCAACGTTTACCATCCAACCTGACAGAACTGGAGAGGATCTGCAAGGAGGAATGGCAGAGGATCCCCAAATCCAGGTGTGAAAAACTTGTTGCATCTTTCCCAAAAAGACTCATGGCTGTATTAGATCAAAAGGGTGCTTCTACTAAATACTGAGCAAAGGGTCTGAATACTTAGGACCATGTGATATTTCAGTTTTTCTTTTTTAATAAAAAATGTAAAATGTCAACGATTCTGTGTTTTTCTGTCAATATGGGGTGCTGTGTGTACATTAATGAGAATTAACTTATAAGGGGGTCTGAATACTTTCCCTACCCACTGTATATATATATATATAGCAGAAAATTATTGTGCCGTTTTTGTGTACTGATCATCATTAAATATATGAGCTCATCTGTAGTACTGCTGGAAGGTTAAACACAAGATGCAAGATGTGATTTTCTTTTCTTTTTTTTTAAGTGAATGGCTTGTTTCTTCTTCTTGTTGGGATTGGACTCCAGTTGTCTGTAAGCCGGTTGAAAACCTCAACCCCATCTCTTTAGTTCTTCAAAAAGAATCCTCAATTCTTTGCTCTACTGGATATAGGCGGAATGTCAGTCTTCCAGAGAAAGATCCATAAAGTCTTACTTGGATTGTGCCTGCAGCTTTTTGATGCCCAGGGACAAAAAAAAGGAGAAGAAAAAAAATGTGTTGATGTGCTGTTGGGTTTCTATTGTGTGAGAGGCCAAACAGTAAGAAAGAGACAAAGAGAGCTGGAGAAACAGACAAGACAGTTGGTGGTCCTGTTACACAGTTGTTTTGGTTTATGTTTCCATGGATTTTCTGTGATTTTTGCTGTTTGTTTTACAGTAAGAGCCCAGTAAAATGTTCTGTTTAAACTGTGTAGGTGCACATCAATTCCTTCAGTAAGCATTCTTGTGAATATTAGACAGATTTTTTGGGATAGTTATTTGACTTATATTTGGGTAATGCATTACAAGTAACATGAGTTACGTAATCAGATTACTTTTTTAGTAACTACATTTGCAATGAAATATCTGAGTTATTTTTTCAACAAAGTAACCCAAGTTACTTTGCTTTTCCACATTTATTTACTGAGTTGAAAAAAAAAAAAACCTCATGTTTTTTTTTATTATTTAAAGGCAAATAAGAATGCCCAGCCCAAGTGATAAAAAGTAATGCATAAGCAACGTAATGCATTACTTTCTGTAAAAAGTAACTAAGTAACACAATTAGTTACTTTTTTTATGAGTAACGCAATATCAGAATCAGAATCAGAATCAGAATGAGCTTTATTGCCAGGTATGTTTACACATACGAGGAATTTGTTTTCGTGACAGAAGCTTCCACAGTGTAACAAAATGACAGTGACAGAACAAAAAAACAGATAATAAAAAATAAAAAAAATAAAAAATAGAACAAGTAAAATAAGGAATAAAAAATATACAAATCGACAATTGTATGTACAGGTATATAACAATAGACAGTTGTATGTACAGGTATATTATGTGCAAATTGAAATGTAGACTGAGTATGTGTGTTAGATAAATAAGTGTATGAGTGAATAAATAGTGTGTGTTCCACAGTTATTGTCAAGTGTTCATGAGATGGATGGCCTGAGGGAAGAAACTGTTCCTGTGTCTGGCCGTTCTGGTGCTCAGAGCTCTGTAGCGTCGACCAGATGGCAACAGTTCAAAGAGGGAGTGTGCTGGATGTGAGGGGTCCATAGTGATTTTGCCAGCCCTTTTGCTCACTCTGGATGAGTACAGTTCTTGGAGAGAAGGGAGGGTTGTACCAATGATGATGCATATATTGTAATGCATTACTTTTAAAAGTGACTTTTTTCATACAATAGATTTTGTCCAGTTTATTAATTTTTTTCTCTCACTGAAAAATAATGACTACCATACATTTTTACAATGATTTACAGAAGACACTCACTACAATGTCATTCATTGTAACTAGTGGTCAACCGATATATCGGCCGATATTTGGCATTTTTTAAATATCGGCATCGGCCGATAAGTTTTCCTGTTTTGCCGATACGTTCTAGATGGGACTTTTATTTTGACAGCGCTGAGAACGGCAGCACACAGTGCTTACATTCTCCCTCTTGTTCGCTGTTGTCGTTCAGTTCTGTCTAATTTGGATTATCTAATACGTCTGTCTAATAATCAGATAGAACGGTTAAACAAAGGAATTAAAATGTATACAAAAAGTATTATAACGATTGCTTTTATATTATTAGTAATAGAAAGGCAAACATTATAATACTTTCTTGTTTGCCATCAGCATTCAGCAAATACGCATTTATATCATTTAAACAAATCTTTGAATGTCTAATGAACATCTAATTTCAAAAACCTTGCAAACTTAGTCGGATCCAGTTGTGAGATCTTGTGAAGTGTGCATTTGTATCCTGCACAATTGCGTGTTCTCTGCGTGACGGTCGATCCGTGCGAATTGAATGCGGACAGGAGGAGAGTTCAGCTTCACTGGAGACGTGCGATCGACAAACTTTAAACTCGTGATTTTAAATTATGCCCACTGTCATATTCATGTCATTTTCACTGTGCTGTATGTAAAATGAGTGTTACCTTGGCTTTATTTGAAAAAAATATGATTAATGCACACAAACTTCCCAGAATACTGAGGCCCTGTTGGTTACAGTTGACTTCCTTTTTAATTATATTTTTATTCAATATTTATTTATTTGTGCAAAAATACTTTGTCATATAAAGTATAAGTATGTTTATTTAACACATTTATTTTTTAATCAATTTTCAAATGATTTCAAATTTCTTAAATATTAATTAAAATAAATAAAATTATATCGGCTTTATATTGGCCACCCTGCTTTCCTAGATATCGGCATCGGCTGTCAAAAAAACAATATGTAACTATAGCTGACAATCATATAACAAAAAAATCTTGTCAGGTATATTTAGAACAGGAATCATTAGATGACATTAAAAGACTCTATTTAAAGATCACAGTGCAGCCCCCAAAATACTAATAAATAGTCATTTGAATTATTTACCAGTCTTTGCCACTATCCTTCAAACCACTAGGTTTTACCCATTTGTCAGCAAGTTTTTAATCGTTTCAAGTATAATAACGCTTAGTACATGTCATGATGATGGAACATTATTTCATGCATATTTTGACTTTTTTCGCAAAAGTTATTGAAACATTTGCTTGCACTTTACTTGCATTTAACATGTAAATAAAATCACTGTAATTTAATGAAGACGTGTTTATTTTATATTATCATTTTGTTTTGTTTTATTTTATTGTTTGTCCACTTGGCATTCCATTAAACTCGAGACTAAATTTGTGATAAACATTTCCAGAGACAGGTGTACATTTTCTTACCTTTTGGTAAATGTACACCTTCAAAACTGTTCTTGCATAGCCATTTTGTTTCTTCTTTTTTGTTTCTGTATCATCTTCTGATGATCGGACAGCAGAACGCTGCATTAGCAGTAATATCCTCTAGCAGGAATATCCTAAATCTACAACACAGCATTGTTCTGTTTTACAGTTCTAGCACTGTGCTGAAATAACCCAAGCCCATGTCTCTTTATTCATTGTTTCTGCTTGGAATAATAATTTGTGAAGCACTAAATTGCTTTGAGGGATAGGACATTAAAGGGATTATTCTCATGTAATCCGCGGGTCCCTGTAGACGTGGACCTGATCACAGAACAGCGTTACTCAAAACACAACAATAGCATGTTTAAGAAGCGCCACAGCTACTTTAACCGCCTGTTGTTGTTTTTTTCTTGTCATCCCCAGTTAGCAACAGTAAATCCGTTTTTCCCGCCCGCTTAGTAAATGAGCGTGTTTAAAGGTTAGACAAGCACACGCTAATTATTTGATTATTTGGACGAGCTCTCTCTCCCCTAAAGAGCAGAAAGTTGTGTCTCGGCGAGAGGAAACCTCTGGAGGGAGGATTGAAGTCAAAATAAAAAGAGCACAAGCTACAGTTACAGAAAAGAACATTAAGCTCACTATGAAAGATAGCCGGGTAATACTTCATACTAACCTTCATGAATAAGTCATTAAAAGATTTTATATAATGCTAAACAGATCATATATGAATTAAAATTTCATGACATTTTTAACTGCGTGAGTGTATATGAAATAATGATCTGATGAGAAATTGAAGCTGAAGCAAGATTGCTGAAGCTCACTTGGCAGAATATTGCGCTTGCAGTACCAAAGTCAAGGGTTTGATTCCCAGGGTACACATATACTGATGTGGATACATAACCAGATTTGATAAAAGTGATAAAAATAGATACAAATTTAAATATATATTTTTATGTCATTGTAATTGTAGTATTATTTAAATACTGTATTTATTTATTCATTTTTGAAATTGCCTTTATTTTTATATTTTCAGTTTTCATTTTAGTTCTAGTAATTTTGTACTTTTGTTTTTAGTTTTATAATTTTTTTTATTTTAGTTTATATTTGAGTTTTAGTCATTTTATTACTCACTTATTTGATTTCATGTATTTGTCAATGCAGCATTTCTAAGGTTTTGTTTTATTTTAGCTTTATTTCAGTGAAATGTATTTAAATTTAGTAGTTTTAGTTTTAGTTAGGAGTAACAGCACTGTTTCATGTTCTTTTTGACTAATGTGTCTCTCTGGCTGTTGTTTGTGCTGCTGCAGGTAGAGCTGACGGGCAGCAGTGTGTTTGATTACGTTCACCCGGGCGATCATGTGGAGATGGCCGAGCAGCTGGGCATGAAGCTTCCACCGGGCAGAGGGCTGCTGTCTCAGGGCGGCGGGGCCGAGGACGGGGCCAGCTCTGCCTCTTCTTCCTCTCACTCTGAGACACCTGAGCCAGGTAAGATCATGAGACTATGAGCGGCCTTGCTGGACAGGATAGAACACGTGGGTTTAGACGTTTAGACATCATTCGCACTGTGTGCATGCAACAGGCAACCTTGGGTTTGTGTTTTGTGTACTAATCTCTCTAGTTTGGTTTTTGGGCCTTGGCTCTTTTAGATGTTTGATTTTATGCTAGTTTAGTTTTGTTTATTACTTTTTAAAAAATCTTATTTTTATAGTTTAATATTATTTGGTTATTTTATTATTTTACTTTTTATTTTTGTTTTGGCCCTTTAACATTTTATTTTATTTTATTTAAAATTTTGTTTATTTTTTTTTTTTAAATAATTGATTCTGGTTCACTCAATGGTGAACAATTCCACTTCACGTCGAAGTCCTTGAATGCAAATTTATATTATTATAATTTAGTTTTTAGTCTAGTTTGGTTAATATTTAAAAAATATTATTATTTATTTTACTTTATTCTTTAATATTCTTTAATTATTTTAATATTTACTTTTAGCTCTTTTATTTTATTTATTTATTTATTTTTCCACTTCACGTACTTGAATGCAAATAATTTAGTTTTTAGTTAAGTTTGGTTAATATTGTACAAATATTTGTATTTATTTTATTTTATTTAATATTAAACTTGTCTCTTTGTTTTTATTTTATTTATTTATTTTTTAATACTTGATTCTGGAATACTTGATTATTGAATAATTCTGCTAGTTCTTGTCATTGGTTTATTACCGATCATTAATACCGACCTTCTATAAGACTTCTACTTTAATGTCTGCATTCTGTGATTTGAATCATGGTTTTTTTAAATAAACATTAGATGCATAATTTCAGTTTAAATATAAAAAGAAACATTTGCAGTTCATCTATTACACTGTTGCTTTGAGTAAAGCTTTCATTCAATGATCTTGAAGCTCCAGATTTGGGCTGTATTATTTGTTTTGTGTGTTCTTTATTTAGTTATTTATTTCTTTGCTAGTCTGTTTATTTATTGATACCCAAAGCCATGTTTCTTTCTGAGGTCTGTGGTATAGATATGCTGCACCAAGCGGTCAATATGATGCTCAGACACTGTGAGTGGACCTTAGGTTGCCAGAAGTGTCCGTGTGTGTGTGTGTGTGTGTGTGTGTTAATGGCATGTGTGACATGATATGCCTGATGAGTGTCTTCCGCTCGGCCCCGAACTCTCCAGGGGCGGCCCGTGTGGCGGCAGCACTGTAACACAGGCTTACCCTGCTCCCGAATTTAATTAGATGAATTGTATAGCAGGGATGAAAAGAGGTGACATTCCTCATTGGAATTCCTTTCAGGGCTCTTATAGACTTTGCCTTCCAAATGTTCCCATTTTCATTGTGTTGTACTGATGATAATTTAAGTATTAGGGGAAAATCCATTTATAAATTAAACAAAATGACTTGATATCCATCAGTCCCCGAGTTCATCAAGCTGTTCAAACATGAGGGAGATTGGCTGGTCGGCCCGGGTCTTCCGAGAGCTTCAGTAATTAGATCTGCCAAGGATTTATACTTTGCTGATTGGAGCTTTAAATTAATTGAAGTTCCACATTTGTGGTTTTGTCCTTTTCGTGGCGTTTTCTTTTTCTTTTTTTTCTAGCCAGGCAGAAATTTCACACTGGCAGACTCGAAAGTGTGTGTGTGTGTGTGTGTGTGTGTGTGTGTGTGTGTGTGTGTGTGTGTGCGTGTGTGTGTGTGTGTGTGAGAGCGTTCATTTCTTGGTGAGAGTGAGCGAGAGGGTCTTTAATGGTTAGAGGGCTGGTCTGACGCTGAGATTTCTTTGTGTATACGCAGAATCATTAAAGATGTGCTTTACAATCAGATAAAGGGCACCACGGTCTGTCTTCTAACACCAGAGCTTCATTTATAAATTATGAGGACCAGAGACACATACTGTACAAGACGTTTGTGGGGGATTTTATTTATAAGGATAAAAATTGTGTTTAAATACAGTCGGCAGCATGATGCCATACATAGACAAAATTTGATTAAAATCAATGACGTTGTCTACATTGTAAGCTTGTTGGTATAGATTTGTTGCTTTAATTTTCTTGCATTGTATCGAGCCCCTAAAGGGGCATGGTGGTAGATGCAACATTTAGATTTTTTAAATGTTTTTGCGTTTGCATAAAACTTTTGTGTTATCTTGCAAAACTGTTGCGTTTCCCCAAGAAACTTTGCATTCGCTCTCAAAAGTTTTGTGATGTAAATAATATGAGGTGGGAGTAAAAACTGTATTTTTGAGTGCTTTCGCAAGTGAACATAGATACAGCAACTGCATCATCTAGAGATAAAAAGGTTTTTTAATTAAAGGGGTCATATGATGCGATTTCAATTTTTCCTTTCTCTTTGAAGTGTTACAAGCTCTTGGTGCATAAAGAAGATCTGTAAAGTTGCAAAGACTAAAGTCTCAAATCCAAAGAGATATTCTTTATAAAAGTTCAGAGTCAGCCACACCTACCTAAAACGGCTCGTTCTAACACGCCCCCACATATCTACCTCACTATGTGGGAAGATTTGCATAACGCCACCCAAATGTTCACGCAAAGAAAGAAGGTGTAACTTTTAGTCTCACTGTAGTTTTGTTGACGGTTTCAAAAAGGCGGGGCATAGAGGAGAAACAATAATGTACAGTATGTGAAAAAGAATGTGTTTTTTTTTACTTTAAACCGCATAAACACATTTCATTACACCAAATACACAAAATAATGTTCTTTTTAGCAGCATCATATGACCCCTTTAACATTTTTTGTTGTGCAAACATTTTGTTATATTATTGTAAATGTTTTGCCAGTGATATTTCTTTCTGCTTCTTGACTTTCATATTTACCTGTCTGCTGTCTCTGGCATCACATCTGTGTGCCAGCCACGCTACTGTCATTAAGATGAACGGGAATGCTAATAGTTATCTTTCTGCAGGTATAATAGCCCTCCTTGGGACACAAAATCTCCCTCTTGTGCTCTATTTTTCTTTCTCTCTGAATGAACGGCAGGCTGAACAGTGTTTTAAGGTGGAGTCAAGCGTTTCGCCTCCTGTCACCTCCCTCATATGTGTGTGTCCTGCCTCTACACTCGTTTTTTCCTCTTCTTTCTGCCTATGACGTCACTTGTTTCATCTGCTCAACCTGCAGAGTAAATTGTGTTATCAACAGCCTATTTTAAATATCTGGCAGTGCGGAGGGGAGAGCGAGTTTTCCCCTCATCACTGGCTCTATCTCTCTCTCTCTAGGGCATGACACGCCAGCAATAAAGCGGTAAAGACGGCGGTATTTTTCTTGAAGATCGTAATCCTGCTGTTTGTCAACAAGAGGCTTTTGATGAGCGTGAAAAGCAACCCCCTGTTTGTGCATTAATAAAAGAAAACGATTCAAGCTCCATTTGCAATGAGATGAATTTGGAAACAGACGCCTGTGAGCCTGTGACATCTGTCCAATTGGCTCTGGCGCAGAGAGAACATCATTCGCCGCACTGCTTTTAGTTACAGTTCCTTTAACCTATTCATTCGTTTTAAAGGAGCGATTCATTCAGCATTAGATGTTCATCTAACGGCTAACAAAGGAGAAATCTTTTATACTGGAGGCATGCATTCTTCACTTCATTTCAGAAAGTCTTCATGTTCAATTTTTTTTATTTATTTTGATAATTATTAGTACTAGTTTTTGTAGTAGTAGTGTTGGGGAAGCTTCTATCTATCTATCTATCTATCTATCTATCTATCAATTTGTAATATTTTTATTTTACATTTTATTTATTTTAAATTATTTTGTAGTAGTAGTGTTTTATGTTATATAAATTATATAATTATTATTATATAATATATAAAATTATATAAAACATATTTTAGGTATTTTATATAATTTATATAGTTATGATCACAATCAAACCTGAACTTAATAATTAGCTTTAAACAGCAATAAACATCTGTTTTTAGATAGCTACAAAAAAGCACAGGGAATTTTGTGATGATTGATTGATGATTGAATCATTTGAATCAGCCATTCTATTCTGTTGAGCTAGTTCACAGAAATTATTCATTTGAATCTAAAAACAGCTTGTTACTGTAAATTGCTTAAATTATTGTGAAAGCAGTTTATAGTGGCATTATATTTAGTTAGTTACTCCCCAACACTATAAGTGGTGATAATTATATACAATATTAATGCAATATGCCATAAAGGGCTTGCATTTCCGTGATTTTACCTCAATTATGGAGTGTTTTGGCACAATGTGTACATTAAATTAATATATAACTAAATTAATATAGAATTAATAATAAAGAAAATTGTATACAGCTCAACTGATATATGGTCATAGATGTATATTGCATCTTTGAAGGATTTTAAATTTATATCAAAATTTCAGTTATGCAACATAAGTACATTTAATTTATGTTTTAATTCAAATATTCAAATAAACAAAAAGATATTTTGGTTTCCACTCAGTTATAATGGACACATGAAGACCAGTGTAATGTATGCCGAAATACACCGAGAAACAAGAGTTGTGGCATTAAACAATGATAAAAAGAACAAGATACTATAAATAAAGGGAAAAAAACACCTGAATTAACATTTGGCAGTGCTGCATGTGAGGATGATGGACTGAGAACACTGTGTGAGGAGCGTTCAGTCCCAGCGCAGGGCTGAGCGGGCGTCTCAGGGCGTCCAGAGCAGCAGTCGCCCATGGGCAGGGTGATCCGGACTCTCCCGTAGGGTCAGACCTTTGATTTGTGTGGATTCTCCTCTAGCCTTTAACAGGTGTCTGCTGCTGCGGGTGACATTTGAAATGCAAATAGAGCTCTTTTCCACAAGGCCTCTGATTCTACCTCTGTCAGACCAGAAGAAAACCTCCAGCACAACACACACGTACGCATTCACGTGCATACACACACTCTACTCTACACAAACACACATGCACAGATTCACACTGAAACAATCAGATAAGACTTGTGTTCTGAAATGAACAGGAAGAGGCTGGAGTG